GCGACGCCTGTCTATCCCACGCTCTGCTTTGTTCCACTTCACCCGTCACATGCGATTGGGCTCGCGTGACTGACATTGATTCCTTGTTTCTGTCTACTTGAAACGGTACCATGTTTGCGCATGCCCGTTGATGATTCACTTGTTTGCTTGCTTGCCCGCTTACTTGTGTGGTTGCTGATGTGCAGATAGACAGATCTATTGCACACTCTGTTCCCTGAATTCTGAACAGAAAATTACGTACATAAAACGTCGGAGTACATACCCAAATGGTTGTCAAAATGAATGACTCAACCCAAAGCAGCCTCAGAGATGAAAATCAAAACTCTGGTTCCTCCAGTTGCGAAGCGCTTAATTGCATCAGATCACACAGTTGGTCCGATCATTCAGAATGATTTTACGCAACCACAGGTGGAAGCAGTTGGCATTCAGCGAGACGATTGTATTACCAAACAGATCCTTCCCTCCTCCCACTGAAAACAATATGATAGCTTTCAATCCACTGTCGCTAAAAGCTATAGAAATTTAAATGTTTTGCGTATGCGGCAGACAACGGCGAAATCAATGCTTCCCTCTCCTGACTTCTAATTTTCTTTCTGTCCTTATGAACTTGATAAATAGAACTCAAAGCTTTATATTTTTGAGACAAATATCCAACCCCAGACAGCGGCTCGAGCTCCATCGTAACTATCAAAAATAAACGATCATCATGTTCCCAGACATGCATTCAGCCTAACAATCTGTCAATGGGACTAAACTATGGAACTGTTTGTTGAAAAATGAGACAGCTTAGAAGAGTGTGCTCTTCTTCAAATTGTTCCATCGTCACGCCTCAGGTCATATTGGGAAACACGGCCATATTTCGCTCCCTTGGTTTCCGTCATCGGATTACGGCAATGTTGCCCTGAGGTGATCACTCAACACCACCTCTGAAGGCTCGTTCATGTTTTGCGAATGCCTGCCCATCGTCCACGGTTCCATCGTCAATTCGCACGTGTTGGAAAAGACATTAGCTTCATTTGGTGCTTCTCATTTTCTTAGTTGGAACCCATAAGACAAGGACTGTCATTTGTTGGAGATGATGAGAGATATAACTCAGAATACACTTAATTGGCGAGAATGCTGGCTGTTGAACTGTCACATTCCGTACATACTAATATGTCGTTCAAGCAAATCAACTGACAAAACATCAAAACTTGTACGACGAAAATGCACAAATTTCATGACTGATCATAGATCTACTTATTCAGTGTTCCTTAAGTTCTATTGTATTTTACTCTCATTTCCGTAGTTCAGTGCTTCTGTTGTTATCATGCTTGATTTCAAGCAGGTGTTCAATAAGAAATCAAAATGAACAAGGAGCAGACGCCTACAAACGAAACAATTGCGCCTCTTTGTGGTCTTTATCGGATTACATTGTTATTGATGACGGGGATGGCTTACAGCCCGATGCAATTTAGTTCCAGTCAGGTGTACGTCGGTAATTAGCGTTCGCAGCAGAATCCGATAGATTACCAGAGTTATTTTATCGAAGATTGTCTCTATACGTATTCTATTAATTAGGTAAGAAAACCGACTGTTTACGAGTTTGCGAGTTACGTATACGCGTAACCCTTCCTTCACTCCCACGCAACGTTGTCACAAAGTTACGTGGAGCAGTAAAAGCAAGGGATAATCGTTTTTTTTCTTTTAATAATGGCACCGAAAATGTAGTCAGGCCGTCTTGGATAACCGTCAGCGACAGTAAGTGAAACCGTGGGAGTCTAATTTATCATAGTTTATTACTCATATGGCTAAGTCCGGAAACTTCAGATAGTTCACCTTGAATTTCTTGTTTTTAGCACAAACTATCGAATCACCATGGGCGTTATGCTGGCGGTCGCAACAGCTCATTTGTACTGGTTCAGAAATAATAAAGCATTTGGAATCTGCAACAGGGAAAGATAGCCTGTGTTTTTGAGACGAAAAATTCGTCGAATGAAATGTTTTCGAATAGAATCAATAAATAACCCATTGCTATTTTGTTTCGAACAGGAACTCTGTAGACCTAAACTCTTGGAGACAACTGGGCAGTAATAAACGTGTGCCCTATTATATATCCATTTCTAATGGCTAGTATTTCGTTTGAAAAAAACGCAATACTGCAGTCATTCTTAGAGAGTTATGTGAACAAATGCAGGATCCTCGAAAGTGCACGTGGTTTGCCATGTATATAATATGAAAACATGTTTCCGTTTATTATTTCACCTACTCTCTTGACGTAGTAAAAAATGGTGACGAACTTGGTCATCAAGACCAGGTGCATTGCGCATCTGTGATCACGAACAAGCGGATCCTTTGCTTCATCGTAGAACATAAACACGTCAGTTCTGACCAAAACAATAAGCGATATTCCCCGTTGTCATAGTGATGCTCAAAGACAGTAAAGCTACCAGCCGTTTGTAGAAAAGACAAAAGTTCCATACAAGGCTAGTTTTCTAGCAGATGCTATCATACAATTACACGTGTTCAAAGCATTCAAAATCATAGGCCGCATTTGTTTCTCTCCTGATTGTCTCAGACAGATTCAGATGAATCAGTTGGAATTTCGCGAGAAAAATGGGGCAGTCATTCCTGTTTTTCCCATGAGTACTTCGTGATATCTGTAAGCAACAAGATCTTAAAAACTTTTGCACATCTCGTATGAAAACACTAGGGTAACTTTTGTGTTCCCAGCGGTGCACCAACATTCCTAAAATGGAGAGAAGGAGATGAAGCCCTGAAATGTACTTCGACTGACCTAAATAACAATGATATTTTAAACACGACCAATAGATATTCGTATAAACGAGCAAGTAGTGTTGTCTGTGTATTGTGCTGCAGAAATTGTTACATAAGGCAATTTTGAGGTGGTTCAACCTTGTTACTTGCACATTTGTCTGGAAAAGCTCAGTAACTTTTACCGCATTTGAGTGTTTTAGGTGGTATTACCAAAGTACCAGTGTACTATTATAGAAAACATCAAAGATAAATGGGCGCTAGTAAGTAATTCGTGTTCCGATTTGTTTAGGGCAGAAAAATAAATATTTTTTTTACAAATACAAGTGAGCCAACTCTACTAATGGTGGACGGTAACCAGAATGATTTGATTACCGTCGGTCCCTTTGTATTTCAATTCAACAAAATTTTTAAATTCTCATAGACAAGTGAAAGAAATGGAAAAATATAAGGCAAAATTTGTCCATTTTGTTGGTAAACTAGAGTGATATGATCAAACATAAGGGTATTCTCACGGTTCAACACATCCGGGTCCAGAGTGCTTTCGTGTATCTGTTTGGCCGTTTACCTTTATGATAAACGAGTTTGCATTCGTACCACATATTTTTCCTACAAAACGAACGACGTTCTTGTGCGTGTGCAGAAAATTGTGGATTTGAATGGCTTGCATGATGTTACATTTTTAATTGCTTATGTGCGCGGATGAGGAAGTTGGGAAAAAGGCGGGCGGAATATTGATATGACCAGTGATGCTTCAACGTGTTTTCGCTACAGAAGTCGTCGACCCGTGTTTCTTTCTCCGAACACTGCTCGTTCCGCAGTCAAATCTTGTCCAAAACCAAATACAATGCCCTCAAAGCTCTGGTCACTGTAAACGTCTTCCCATTTGCCTTTCAACTCCAAAACCAATGGAGTTTTTCCCAGTATTTTCTATATCCATGCTTTGGCAAGACATTTCTATTGAGATCGTGGAGGGATTGTATGACCTCGTTTATCACTCCCCAACAAATTACCCTACGATGTACCTAAGAGCTCCGTTGTTCACTGGATAGAAATGTTTGGTGAACAACAAACTCAACTTTGTTCACAAATGTTAAACTCGGAGATTACATGCCATCTCATGTTGTGGGAGACATGAAGCTTTCATTGGCATCACATAAAATGGATTACTGTAAACAAAGACATCTGCAGTTCAAAAGCCTTTCTCAGTCTACGACACATTTTCGGGTCCATCAATCTAGGTGTTTCGATCGATAAGCTAACCATCGCCGCTGTTAGAATGCCCAATGTTAATCTCGCGAACAAGTAACTCCAATCGTATGTCACAACTCACAGAACAAACAAACAACATAACCTCCCAAATCAATGCTGTAGTCGTTGATGTTAGCCCTTAAAGTCCGGGGGCCGACCGACGATAATGTCATGATCGTTCTGCATCTTTCTTTTGACAATCTTAATAGTTACCACCGATCTTTTAAGGAGAAGGACCGTCGGTGATAGTCACCTAGGACTTTCACAGCAATGGT